AGCTGTCTCTCTTCTGCTTGGATTGCTAAATCACTAGCTCTTGTAAGAGCTGTTCCTGCTCTGCATTGCAGCATCCCTCCCAGTAGGGGGAAAATAACATCTCTGGCAGCGGAACCCCTCTTCCCATTGGAGTAGTTGGCACAATGAATAATGCATGCTAGTCCTCATACATTGTGATAGGATCCTGTATACTTAGTGGTGTGCTGAGGCTGGTGAATATAGAGCGGGACCTGGCCCTAAAACCCCTGGAGCAAGTAACGGATGAACAATTGCGCGAATACCGCTCAGTGGATGGTTGTCCCAGCCCTTCGTGAGCCGAACAGAGATCGCCATGAAGGGGGGTACTTAGCTTGCGGTTAACCGCAGACCCAACGTTCTAATTGGGGCCACGCGCCCAGGTGTAGGTTGTCCTCGTTTGGGAGTCTTTCGGGAGTTTCAGTTTGGTGAATTATTATCCGAACGAGGCCACCCTGAGGCAGTCAATTAGGCTTGTGGTTAACCGCAGACCGCAGCTTCCCAGTGGTCAATTGGAAGCACACTCCACTTGTGGTTGGTTGTTCGGTTGTTTTAAAGGTGAAAAAGGTTAAGTGGCGGCACACGCCAAGGGCTGGGTGGTCTTTGTTCGTATGCACGAATACATACTCCTGACTGTTCATGTAATGTGTTTTATACATTAGAACTACCGAAACAGAGTATACGGTAACATAAACAGGGTAATCCCGTAACGATCTGTATAACGCCCGTAACAATCCCCATCCTACATCCCTGAATAGCCCTGATCTAGGTAAACAACATATGCAAAAATCACCCAGATCCGAGCAGGGGTTCAAAAGTTTTATGGAAGCCATATTTGACCAACCGCAAGCATGGCTTTCATGCCCAAAACAGTTCCACAGATTTAGGCTGTGCAGCCGGTCTATCTTTTCCTTTATCCTGGAGATAATTCGCTTAAGTGGCTGTGGTAAGCCAATTATCTCTAAGTCCAAAAACTGTTACAAAAACTACATAAAAATAAATAACTCATATAATACAATGTTTAACCTACATGTCCAACATATACCCAGATAGCTTGGATCTGAGCGCTCAATATGTCCGAAAAGTGCTCAGATCCCATGCATACAGTTGGATCGCCATGGGGTTAAACAATAGCAAGGGCTGATGAGAGATTGAGGAGGGACAAAGCAGCCAGTTTCAACTGGTCTGCCAGTGTACCTGGGACAACGCCCTGCTGGAGAACAATAGGTCAGGAAAAAGGGGGAGGGGAAGAGGCACTTTTCCCATGGAATTAAAGGGCAGAAAAAGTGTTCTAAAAATCCAATAAGCCCAAATAGAGTTTTTAAATGGCAATACCCCCAGGGGCCATAGTCACATGGCAAGAGGGTGGCAAACAGGCCCCTCCAAAAACCAGTGCTGAGGTCACTTTCGCCATAGGATTTAATTAACCAATCCTTGTTAACAGGAGTAGTCCCAGAAGATTGGAAATTAGCAAATATTGTACCAATTCACAAGAAAGGTAGTAGGGAGGAATCGGGCAACTATAGGCCAGTAAGCCTTACTTCAGTGGTGGGGAAAGTGATGGAAACCATGTTAAAGGATAGGATTGTTGAACATCTAAAATCACACAGATTTCAAGATCAGAGACAACATGGGTTTACTTTAGGGAGATCATGCCAAACTAATCTAATTGACTTATTTGATTGGGTAACTAAAATTATAGATCAGGGTGGTGCAGTAGCCATTGCTTACCTAGATTTCAGTAAGGCTTTTGACACTGTTCCACATAGAAGGCTTATCAATAAATTGCAATATTTAAGTCTGGATTCCAATATTGCTGAATGGGTTAGGCAGTGGCTAAATGACAGGTAACAGAGGGTTGTAGTCAACGAAGTATATTCGAAGAAATGTCTAGTTACCAGTGGGGTACCTCAGGGATCTGTACATGGACCCATTCTCTGTAATATTTGTATTAGTGATATTGCAGAAGGTCTTGATGGTAAGGTATATCTTTTTGCTGTAGATACTAAAATTTGCAACAGGGTTGATGTTCCAGGAGGGTTAAGTCAAATGGCAAATGATTTAGAAAAAATAGAAAAATAGTCAGAGCTGTGGCAAATGACATTTAATGTGGATAAGTGCAAAATAATGCACCTTGGATGTAAAAAACCAAGGGCAGAGTATAGGATATTTGATACCCTACTAACCTCAACATCTGAGGAAAGGGATTTAGGGGTGATTATTTCTGATGACTTAAAGGTAGACAGACAATGTAATAGAGCAGCAGGAAATGCTAGCAGAATGCTTGGTTGTATAGGGAGAGGTATTAGCAGTAGAAAGAGGGAAGGGCTCATGCCATTGTACAGAACACTGGTGAGACCTCACTTGGAGTACTGTACACAGTACTGGAGACCGTATCTTCAGAAAGAGATTGATACTTTAGAGAGAGTTCAGAGAAGGGCTACTAAACTGGTTCCTGGATTGCAGGATAAAACTTACAAGGAAAGGTTAAAGGAACTTAACATGTATAGCTTGGAGGAAAGACGAGACAGGGGGGATGTGATAGAAACATTTAAATACAACACAGTAAAGGAGGAGACTATATTTAAAAGAAGAAAAACTACCACAACAAGAGGACATAGTCTTAAATTAGAGGGGCAAAGGTTTAAAAATAATATCAGGAAGTATTACTTTACTGAGAGGGTAGTGGATGCATGGAATAGCCTTCCAGCTGAAGTGGTAGAGGTTAACACAGTAAAGGAGTTTAAGCATGCGTGGGATAGGCATAAGGCTATCCTAGACTTAAGATAAGGCCAGGGACTAATGAAAGTATTTTTAAATATTGGGCAGACTAGATGGGCCAAATGGTTCTTATCTGCCGTCACATTCTATGTTTCTATATTTTCTGTGTATAATGAATAATGTCGGCTAGTCCTCGTACATTGTGATAGGATCCTGTATAATGAATAAAGCCAGCTAGTACTCGTACATTGTGATAGGATCCTTGTGGCGAAAGTAACCTCGCCACTGGTTCATGGAGGGGCCTGCTTGCCAGCCTTTTGCCCCAGGACTATGGCCCCCTGCAATAGACCTTGCTAAAATACTTTAAAAATACTCTGTTCGTGCAATTGAGACTATATTGTTCGGTTACCGAATGTAACGGCACCCCCAGGGGGTTAAAAGCCGTTTAGAGGATATTCCCTTCCAGATATACAGGCAGCTACTGTAGACATCAATCCACCGAACCGGGGAAGCATACTAATGCTCTCAAACATACGAATGCTGTAAACAGTCAAATAGGAAAAACCGTACGAAAGGTTTACACTCCTAGCAGTCGAACTGGAACAGCATACAATAAATCCCCCCCAAGAACGAGGCAAGGCTCCGTGTTGAGGGTCAAAACAGGAACAGACAGAGCTGTGGGTTTATTGTTCTTATATACACATTCTTACACATTAGTGTACCACGACAGGGTTTTGGGAAACAACCAATAAACACGTACAATACACTCAGACACTCCCACACAAAATCCTCCCCTCTGCCTGTGATACAATTACATTACACAATGGGTAATGTAATTATCACAGGCAGAGAAATACAGTTTTTCCACATTATTTATAATTTTAATAGTATGCATCACATTCACATAAATCAGAATCAGCATACTCCAAATACAAACATACGTCAAAATCATACAAATTGGTCCAGTGGTTCAGAAGATAGATCGTAGTCCTTTATGACCAGATGAAGCATGGCTTTTGTGCCCAAAACCAGTTCCACAGAGTCTTCTATCCTGGAGATAATTGGGAAGTAATCCAATTATCTCCAAGGACAGAGGCAAAACTCCATTGAACACATGGCAGCAAAAGACAATAAAATACATAAAAATATATAACTGTGCAGCCATTGCATAAAACAGGCACATTATTACTGAATGGCGCTCAGATCACACACATACAGTTCAATTGCCATGGAGCCAAAGTCTTTCCCATAGTCTTTCAATATACGAATGGGCTCCATGGCATAGCTATCTGGGGTATCACCGCTCAAACAGGGCAAGCACCGAATGACCCGGCTTTAGTGTCTTTGCAGGGGAAAATCAAGCGTTTCAACATTGGGCCATAGTCTAAAGGGAGCAGACGGGCAACCAGGCTCCTCCAATGCAATGTGGCGAGATTGCTCTCGTCACACCGAACAACCACACAAACCGGAGACCACCCTGGAGCTTGTTAAACCTAATTGATACTTTGTAACATTTCCACCGCAGTGTTCTAAGTGTTCGTCTGGGTAGCCACAATTCCTATGGACGACCACGAGGTGGCGGCCATCTTGTTCGCATGAAAACAGGCAGCGGTGTTTGGTCATCGAGTTTATGAAACTATTTTCGGACACTGAAACTCCCGAACATGATCGCTTGTGTTCGGTTTTACAACACTTAGGAAGACACTGTTCGGTGGAATCGTTCGTCTGAATAAGGTGAACTACCTCCAGGGTAGTTTGTTCATTTTTTAAACTACCGAACTCAACCAACCGCAAGCCCTGTGTAACAGGACCTCTCCCGATAACCCGACCGGTTACCTCCCGTTAGTTCCCTTCCTTCAGCCGATCAGGAGCTCTTAAATGGTTAGGGGACTTCGCTCTATACGAAGAAAGAGCGCGAAACTCGGCTGTACCAATTGGTGCTTGGGGAGGAGAGGGGTTTCGTCGGCCAATCAGGGGTAAGAGTGTGAAATCCCGTTTGAACAGGTGCTCTTTCTCTGATTGGTCGTCCGCTTCCTGTGGCGACCAGTCAGCGCTTACTCGTGATGACCAACCAGGAGAATGGCGCAAACCCAGTTTGAATGGGTGCCCCTTCTCCCATTGGTCGAAACAGACTTCCATGCGGCCGTGATACCACCTCACAGCTCCAGAGACTCCCTGCTGGCACGCTTCCCTCTCCAGTGGATATCCCCATGAAGGTATCCACCGGAGAGAGCGCTTGAGAGTGGGTAGGATGGTCCCCAACACAGGGACCGAAGACAGGGATGCGCAGGCCGGTTCGGGATACGAATGCTGTCCCCTGGTGGCATTTGACTATATGAACCGACGGCCACGCAGGGAAAGCACACGCCGCTTGTGGTCTGCGTTTTTCACACCTCCTTAGCGAGGTGTGAACATTCTAACCACACATTCTAAATGGAGTATTGGGATAGTCCGGTGCCCAAGCGTGGATGAAAAGTAAAATGCATTATACAGTGCAAAAATACAAGGGGAAACACATTTTCAACAAGGGAAAATCATACACAATTGGGGACACAAAATGCAAAACCAAACATCTGAACACTCAGTGGGCATGGCACTTAGTGGCGGTGTCCCGCCACACCCTGATTCTATGGAACGGTTTTGGCCATGGTACCAACCTAAAAGAAATGTAGTTCACAAACATCTGGGTTACCATGGTAACTCAACAATGACAGACTGAGGGCCATAGGTTGGGACCATATTTTCCTTAGTATGTAAATGGGTGTGGCCAAGGATTAGCTGCACTTCTGACCCCTCCCATAATATATGTCTTTAGTTAGATGATGGCCCCCTGGTGGATATCTTTGTGAAATAATTATTCTTTGTTTTTCAGGGGACGTTCCAGCAGATGTGGATCTCTAAACAGGAATATGAGGAGGGTGGGAGGCAGTGTGTGGAACGGAAGTGCCCCTAGTACCCCAACAATACATCAATACCCTCAACATCCAAAGCCGGTCCACTGTAATAACAGGCGTTTCAATCAAATTCATACGAGCCAATACTTTCTCTATGCACATACAGTAACATGGCTCCCGGGACCTTTACTAACATCAAGATCTTTTTAATTATAATATTCATCAATATGAATGGAAGCCATTAGGGTTTTTAATATAATTTAACCAGTGTTCAACATCACATTGTGAGCCCCTTCACCCTGATACATAAGGAATCTGCCTCTTCATCCAGTTATATAGGGAATCTGCCCTTTTATCCTGATACATTGGGAAACTGCCACATTCACCCTGATATATAGGGAATCTGCCCCTTCACCCTGATATATTGGGAATCTGCCCCTTCACCCTTATATATAGGGAATCTGCCCCTTCACCCTAATATCTTGGAATCTGCCCTTCATCCTTATATATAGGGAACCTGCACCTTTATCCTGATTTATTGTAAATCTGCCTCTTCACCCTGATATATAGGGAATCTTCCCATTCACCCTGGTATTCTAGGAATCTGCCTCTTCATCCTAATATCCTGGGAATCTGCATCGTCATCCTGATGTGCCATCTCACAGTGCATAAAGACATCGTGCAGTAGTTTTAAACTATAGAACAGGGGACACATTTAACAGTAATTATTTTTCATATAGCCTGTATATGTTCTGCGGATCCTGCATTAAACCGTATCTTCCAAACTGCTGAACGGATCTGGGTGAATTTTGGATATGTGGTTCACCCAGATCCTCCGGTTCCGAGGATATATTTATGGGGTTATTGCATGTTTTGGGGTCCCTGTGATATGTTTTATAATACTGTATTTTCCTGCCTGTGATAATTAAGTTAGTCTATTGTGTTGAGATAATTGTATCACAGGCAGAGGGGAGGATTTCTGATGTAATGAATGGGAGTGTTAGCTGTGTTATAATGTGTTGATTGGTTGTGCTTCAAAACCCTGTGGGCAGCACTATGTTTGTAGAATGTGAATAAAAGAGGCTGTATGTGCCAGTACAGAGAGTTCTTCTTCACCCTCAATCTAGAGTCCTGTCTCTTATTGGGGGAATTGCTATATCACTACAAGGGATTACTATGCTCTGCATTTTTTAAAACTACTGCACGATGTCTTTGTGCACCAAATGCCGGTGAGATGGCACCGTGTAGAAAAGTCCAAACAGTGTCTGAGTTAAAATGGCCGCCATCCATTGTTCTCACCATATGCTTCATCCATTGTTCTCACCATGTGCCTCTGATACATGAAATGGTGGCCACCCAGTAACTCCACAGTATGTCCCCAGATGGTTCTTAAAGGGCCAGCAGCAGCATAATAAAATACAATATGCCCAGATCAGTTCCTTAAAGGGCAATACATCCCAGGGCCATAGTCGCAGGGCAGGAGGCTGGCAAATAGGTCCCTCCAAAAACCAGTGGCGAGGTCACTTTCGCCACACCTAATGGGAAATTGCCCCATTCATCCTGGGATTCTGCCCTGTTCACCTTGATATATAGGGAAACTGCCCCTTAATCCTTATATATTGGGAATCTGGTATTATAAGTAAATACTCAGATTCCCCCAATACAGATTCTAAGGCAAAGTCTCTGCTTATTGGGGTATTTCTGTTTCCCCGTAAATGAATGTGAAGGATGCTGTCTCTTCAGTCTATTTTCTTCTCCGGTGTAGACATATTAAGGTATTTTGGGTGTACACCTACTTGTTTAGACCTGCCATTCCTTCAAATCCCTATAAATTAACGCCTTTTGAATCCACAATGTTCATTATACAGCACCATACCTATATGACGTCCTCAAAGTGTTTGATTCACTTGTATAATTGTTAATGTATCGTATTCATTTTAATTTGAGATAGGTTAGTAATAGTTAATCGTTGGTGAGAAAATAAATTCATCAAAAGCTCATTAATCCTTAGAATGAGATGGAATTAGCATGAGTGGTACTACAGTTTGTGGAAGAACTGGTAAATGTAAGGATAATGGGTACACTGGTCAGGGGCTGAGGGTGATGGGTACACTAGCTGGAGCAGTAAACGGGAGGTGAGAGTGATGGGTACACTGGCTGGAGCAGTAAACATGAGCTGATGGTGATGGGTACACTGGACAGGAGCGGAGGGTGATGCCTACACTGGACGAGAGCTGAGAGTGGTGGGTACACTGGTTGGGAGTGGAGGGTGATGGGTACACTGGTTGGAGCAGTGAACAGGAGCTGAGTGTGATGGGTACACTGGTTGGGTGCTGAGCGTGATAGGAGCAGTGAACAGAAGCTGAGTGTGATGGGTACACTGGTTGGGAGCCTAGAGTGATGGGTACACTGGTTGGGAGCAATGATCAGGAGCCCAGTGTGATGGCTACTGTGGCGGGACCGCTGCCTATTCGTGAATTGCTAGTAAATGTTCCTGTATTTTCCCCTGTATTATATTGTATTTGTGTGTTTTAACTGCTCCTAGTTTGGGAGAGCTCAATTCGAATGGGTTCCATTCACCTCCCAAAACGGGGACCACCATGAAACCTGATTTAGAATGTTGCCTTAGAACGTTCACACCTCATAATGAGGTGTGAAAACCAGAAACCGCAAGGGAAACCTCGGTGCGTGCCGACATCAAGGGGGAGCATTCATGGATTGCTTCCCACCCTGTTCGATTCAATCAATTAGAGCGTTGGCAACTTGCAACATAAGTAATAAGGAAAGTAATTAATGAGTGCTTCCCTGGGTGGCCGCCATTCGTATAGGCGGACGGCGGCCAGGGGGAGCATTCATATTCCGAACGGAGACGCTTCCCTTACCTGGTTTAACCCAGGGATCCCACGAACGGATGCGGTAACCGTTCTGGTGCCCCCCTGAGATTGGGGACAATGGTGGTTTGGCGGGCTTTCTGTGGATGGGAGTCACAGAGGCGGGAAGCTTTCCCATGCTTGGACTCCCAGGGACAGAGGCTCATGGGATGAAGACCCCCTGGCCACCGGAGGTGGGAAACCCTGAGGATAAGTTTTGGGACAAATGGATTGGAGTTCAGTTTCCAGCAGGGGACCCGTGGGAGTGGGAGGGGACACTGAGTGGCGGGAACAGGGGACAAAGGGACCGGGCTTCCGGTTCCGTTATACGACCCCCGGGCGGGGGAGGACCCTGGGAGAGGACATTGTCTTCATGTGTGTTCAACCCCTTGCATGGGGAAAAAAATATAAAAGCTGCATGTGGCCAATAAAGTTGTTGTTGTACCCCTGGAACTGTGTGTCGTCCAGTTACTGGGGAAGATGGGTCTCTTAATGTATTTATAGCTGGGGTAACCAGCCACTACAACTGGTGGCAAGCGGCGGGATCCTACGACCCAGCCAAACAGACCCATGGACTATACGTCTCTAAAAAGACCAAAGTTACAAGATTCATGCAAAGCAAGAGGGATAACCTCTGGCCATCGTAACAAGGCAGAATTGATCGCTGCACTCATGGAAGATGACCACACGCGTACTGAGGCAGCTACCCTCCAGTCAGAGGCTGGAGAAGAGGATGAAGTGCACAAGGAAGTAGCCCGGCTCCTGACATATTACAAAGAGCCACCCTCAGAGGAATCCATGAATAGGATTTTTTCTGAGGTGAAAACCTATGTCCTTGCCAAAAAGGAATGGAGAGACCCCCACAAACCCAGATGGAAGAAGGACAGAGGAGAGGTCGCCGGGAAGCACAGCAGTTCCGGCCTGCAAACTACCGTACAATGCTTTCAAGGAAGCAGAGGAAGGCATTGATGACTTCCTACAAGCTTTGAGCACGACTGCCTGCTACAAGCAAGTTAGTGGGCAAAGCGGCGGAAGCCTACCGGGCTGTACTGGAGGACCAGATCTGGGACTATTCCTTCATCAAAAGGATCCTACTGGCTAGCTATGCTGTCACCCCCGAGCAGTACCGGAGACAGTTCAGTGAGACCAGGAAAGGGAGGTAGAAGTGGGACTCATGGATCAGCTACCCGCCGAGGTGCTACTTGGCAGTGACCTGGGACTCTTCATCTCCACCTTTGTGCTTACTCCACACCCCGCAGAGAGCTACCCCGTGATGACCCGGCAGCAGGCACGCACCACCCAGGGCAGCTCACACTCTGAGGCTCATGTAGGCACCCTTCCCACACCCAAGGTCCCATAAATGATCCCACAGGCAAGCCCCCAGTGTCTGTCCCCCTCCCCCTGGGCGCTACTCCCATACCTACACTTGGGCAACACGTACTAGTTACCTGGCCCCAGAGCCTGGGATCCTACCCCTGCCCCAGTTCCCATACCCTGGGATACCCCAGCAGAGTTCGAGATGGAGGTAGCCTCCGACCTTACAGGGTTATAAAGACAAGGCAGCCGCGGGGGAGATAGGGAAGGAGGGAGAGAGGTACCTCTGGTAGGGGGGTGGTTATACCGCATAGCAGAGAAAAGGGAACCAGCTTGGTTGCGCCCAAGAAATATCGGTATAAGTTGCTGAAGCTGAGTTGCTTGGCAAGGCATTTGGGAAGGAGTCGTACAGAGTTTCGGCTTACCCACAGCTTCTTCTGGCCAGGCATCTCCAAGGATCTGAGGCAGTATTGTCAGACCTGTGATGTCTGCCAGAGAGCAGGGCGACAGATACAAGGCCCCGCTCGATCCCCTGACCGTTATTGACGGCAGAGTAGCTGTCAATACCATAGGTCCCCTAGCTAAGCCTAGTACCTCTGGGAAGAAGTAGATTCTGACCATCGTGTACTACACGACTCGGTATCCTAAGGCAGTAGCACTGAGAGACTGTGGCTAAAGCCCTGATGCAAATGTTCTTCCGGATGGGTTTTCCCCAGGAGATCCTCTCGGACTAGGGCACCCAATTTATCTTCAGGCGGAGAGTGAGGGGGCCCCTAGACCTAGTCCGGGAAAACTGGGAGGGAGCTCGGGATCGGGAACCCCCATTGTCCCCTATGTGCTGGAGTTTAGTGACCGACTGGAGGAACTCACCCATCTGGTGCGGGAGAAACTTTCAATTCAGGCAAAAGGTTTTGGTGCTGAAACCTGTCCAACATGATAGGCTGCATGCTGCCTGGCAGGGCCCATACTGGGTAGTAGAACAGAAAGACGACACTACCTGTGTGATTGGCCCGGGCTCTGGCACCGGAGTCCGACGCCTGTTACATGTAAACATGCTTAAGCCCTACCACGAACGGACAGAGGATATCGCCACCATCTGTGTGCCAGAATTACCGATAATCTTCCCCTGCCTGACCTCCTGGATAATGGAGCCCAGGTTGGGTCCATAGAGGAGGTCCATTTAGGGGTCAGACTAACAGAGAATGCAGACAAGCACAGCAGATGCTGTCCGCCAAGAGAACAACGTTCTCCAATCTGCTAGGGTAAACCCTCCTGGTCACCCATAGAGTGGAGACCCCCTAGCAACAGCCTCTGCGACAGACCCCATACTGGGTACCGGAGGTTGTGCGGGGAAGTATGCAGCAGGAGATCCAAGTGATGCTCTGGATCGGGGTCATTGAACCGTCCATGAGCCCTTGGGCCTCCTTCGTAGTCCTGGTCCTGAAGAAAGACGGGACTACCCGGTTCTGTGTGGACTGTGGAAGGCTCAATGACAAAAGCATCCCATGCACTGTATAGATGAGCTGCTAGATAGAATGGCTCGGGCCGATACCTCACCACTATTGATCTGTGTAAGGTGTACTGGTAGATTCCCTTAGCGGTGGATGCTGTCCCCAAATCCGACTTCGTCACCCCCTTTGGCCTGTACCAGTTTAAGGTAATGCCATTCGGTATGAAGAATGCTCCGGCCACTTTCCAGAGGATGGTGGACCAGCTATTAGATGGCCTCCAGGAGTATGTCTGTGCCTATCTGGACGACATCGCCATATACAGCGATACTTGGGAGGAACATCTGGTACATGTGGGAGCTGTACTGGACAGGATAAGAGAGGCAGGATTGACCCTGAAACCCAGTAAGTGCACCCTGGGTATACAATACCTGGGACATTGGGTGGGTTGTGGGACACAGAAGCCCGAGCCAGCCATGGTTAAAGCAGTAGCTAGCTGGCCCCCATCCCCTCATTAAGACCCAGGTGCTGGCTTTCCTAGGTATGGCCGGTTATTATAGGAAATTTGTTCCCAACTACAGTGCCATAGCTATGCCCCTCACTAGACCCCAGCATGTAAGCAGGCGCCTTGGTAGATGCCCCTGCCCTGGCAGCTCCTAATCCCAGAAAATGTTTTCTCGTCCACACAGATGCCTCCATGTTTGGGTTAGGGGCGGTGCTGATCCAGGTCGGGGACGATGGTGGAGAACACCCTGTGGCTTACCTCAGCAGGAAGCTGTTGCCCAGGGAGGTAATCTGTTGAGAAAGATACCTGGTTGTGGTGTGGGCCCTCAAGAAGCTGCAACCTTACTTGTATGGACAGCAATTAACCCTGTTTACGGGTCACAACCCATTGGGATGGCTCAACTGGGTCTCTGGGAACAATGTCAGGCTGCTACGGTGGAGCCTGGCCCTACAACTGTATGACTTCACTATTCACTACCGGTAAGCAGAATGGCAATGCTGACGGATTGTCCAGACAGATGGCCCTAGATAAGGGATCTGTGAGTCCTTCCTCGCACATACCCAAGCCGATCCGTTGGTGTGAAGGACCTTCCGTCAATCGATGCTCCTAGTGCTTACCAAGGACCATCAGCACCGCACCAGTCACCATAAGCACTGCAGACCCACGAACTGCCACAGCTTGGTTGGGGTCTCACCGTCTCCTACCCACCCTCGACCTACAACAAGGCTCCAGGCCCCAGTGGGTGAACCTCCCTTCCTTCAGAGAGCGAAGCAGGAACAGCTCTTAGAACAGCTAGTGATTAGAACCCAGGGGAGTATACAGAGTATAGCAATCCCCAATGTGATTATAGCAGTTCCCTAGAAGACGAGACAAGGCTGCAAGTTGAGGGTAAGAAGGTCTGAAGGTTTATTGAACAATTTGAGTTTTTATACAGTTTTTACAGCAAAGGTGACGCACAGGTGGACCTAGTTGGGCACCGAATACAAAACATGATCACGGATGTTCGGCACTATATGAACAAAATGGACCATGTTCGTCAATAATACCTCCTGAACCACTAAGACTAGGAAAACAGATGCACAAACAGTTAATTTCCTTATAAACGTTAGTTTGATACCCTAGAAGGAGACCGACCGCACAGTCTGATTCTATGGAACTATTCTGGGCAGGAGTCTCGTGTGCGGTCGGTCAGAAAGAAGATCTCCATGCAAATCCCGAACCCCTGAACCGATCTGGGTGATTTTTTTTAATATATTGTTCCCCCAGATCGGGGGGGATAGGTTGTATTTTGGGGTACTTATGATACTTTCTAAAATGTGTGTTTTTCTGCTTGGAGATAATTAATTTAATGTATTATCAGCCTTAATTATCTCCCCGGCAGAGGGGAGGTATTGTGCATACTGTATGGGAGTGTCTCACTGTATAACTCTGTTTTTATTGGTTTGCTAGCCTTGTGTCCCTGTGCCCAACAAGATCCATGTGGGTGTCACCCTTGTTGGGAAACTTGCATAAAAGGCCAGTCTGGCTACCATTAAAACACACTTTCTTCATCCTCAATCTAGAGTCGTGTCTCTTATTGGGAGAAACTGCTATAAAGCTATCACTACTAGCTCTTGTAAGAGCTTCTCTACTCGGAAGACTACTTGGATTGCCGTAATACCCCTCACACTCGGGAGAAGGACGCCCTCTGGCGGTGGAAACCCCTCTACTCATCGGGGTACAGGTGATAAGGTAAGTTCATTGACTGTGATGATCCCAGCCAGGCCCTGAGAAAATGATGATCCCAGCCAGGCCCTGAGAAATGATGTCCAAGCCTGGCAGTCTGCTTGGCACAGTGCGAATTGTGACAGTTCCTCCCCCTTAAAGGCGCCCGCTGGGCATGAACAGGTTCGTTGAGACTTGTACTCACTGTCCAGAAGGTACTTTCTTGGACTTTTTAGCCTTAGATATATTGGCAGGAGTTTAATTTGTGGCTTGCAATGCCTTCGCGAACATCTCTAAATCTTTTTTACAGACTACAGTACCATTTGAGGCATAGGTACAGTCACAGGGAAGGTCTTCTTTGACAGAGCAATAAGTGGTTTTGGTACTCGCCATCATATTACTCGGAGCAGTTGCAAGAACCGGTGTCTCGGGTTTTTCAGTGGCAGGTTCCTGAAGAACCTCAGGAGCAACAACTGTAGTTGAGTGTGGCATAGTCAGGGAGGCCAAGCACGGACAGGCATGATGGCATCTTTGATGAGTTACAGGCTGGCATGCAGAGCTTATAGGGTGAAGAAAGGTAGTACCCAGTCGGAGAGCTGGGGGTTTAGGTGGGCGAACAGGGCAATAAGTGTCCCCTTTCCCTACATTAACCGCACAGTCTATAGCTCCACCTTCTGGCTCTTTCTATAGATGACTGAACGTGGTTATCCCGATTTCCATAGGTTCTTTGACGTCCAAGGTAGGTGAATAGGACGTCTCAGGAATTTCAGGTAACTTGGTAATGGTGTAGTCCATTTCCTGACAGAGTTGCAGCTTATGCGGACGAACTGAAGAAGTTCTGGGAACAGAGGGTTTACATGTCTTGTCACATTGAGACTCCATGGATTTTATAAAGGAGAACCAGGAATCCAGAACTGGACTTTTCGCAGCCAGAAGCTGGTGTGCCCATGTCTTTGGTTACCCTGACAATTGTGTGATCGCTGTTTTCACCTTTACGAAGTCTGTGGCATAGGTGTGTGGCTTCAGGGAGAAGAGAACCTCGCAATCGATCTTGAAAGTGCTATACTTAGAGCGGATTCCAGAAAGCTTGTCAGGTAGGGCAACTACTGGTTCGGTCAATACAGGTTCCTATCCAAGAATAGTTACCAAGGACTTACCAAGGACAGGAACACAGAATCAGACACAACGATGAGGGAAAGCCAAAAGTCAAGCATACCAGAATTCAGGGAAGTCAAAACAAAGTCAAAGTCAAACACCAGAAAATCAAGATCAGGAACGCGCTCTCAGATTACCATGAGGATGAAACAACGACAGGGCAATGAGCAAAAGGAGAATTGGGTTAAAATACCCCTCCTGTGGATCCGATTGGCCGTAACCAGCCTTTGACCCCAAAAGCAATTACCAGGTTTCCATGTGCATGAATGCTGCTCAGCACAAACCCTCCTGTGGATCTGATTGGCCGTAACCGGCCTTTGACCCCAAAAGCAATTACCATTAACCACATTTTTATGTGCACATGAATATATTACATTACCTCCCACCTGAAGACCACCCACTGGGTGGGCAGAACCAGGTTTGAGAGGAAACTTGCCGTGAAAAGAACAGATTTTTACATTCATCATGGATATCAGAAGCCGAAAC